GAATTTGCTCGCATCGGTGCGCGGTTGGGTTGGAGGGCGACGCCCAAAGTTCACAAAATGCAGCGCACCCCGCTCTACGCAGCAACACTGAACCCAAGGCATTTGCAGTGCTACGCAGATGAATCTCAGATAGGCACAACCACGAAATGCTGGAACAAATCAATGAGTGGGCGTTACGAGAAGTCCGTGCAATCCAATGTGCTAGTGAAGCGCTTGTTGGGATTGCTTCTCAGGTTCGAGATGTGAAAAACTAGTTTCGGTTAGTTGCTGCCCACGTGCCGATGGCAATTTAAAATCGTTTCTTGCGTGCCGCAAATTCCGCCGCCCCTTCTCCTCCCCCTCTCCTCCCCGTCTCCTCCTCTTGGTCCTCCTCCTCTTTCTCCTTCTCCTCTTCTTCCCCCCCCTCCGTCGTGCTCCTCCTCCTCCCCCTCCTCCGCCTCTCCCACCCCTTCTTTCTCTCCTCCTTCCCCTCATCCTACTATTCGCAGGCTGACCCGATACGCCATTCCGCCGGCCTGCTACTCCAGTGGCTGGCGCCATGCCGGCGCCTTTCCCTGGCCCCCCCCCGGGCGAGACCAGAACGGCCCCAAAAGCTCCCCCAATGGGCCCCCTACGGGGCCCCTGAGACGGCCCAGGACAACTTCGCTCGACCTTACCTTTCGAACCGACGAAGGTTCCGCGGATCCGCGACTAAGAGGCGCCGCCCTACAGGCCCCCTCCCCCCACCTGCCCAACACGCGGTCACGAACATCCCCCTCCCCCTCTGCCAAAAGCGCGCTCTCCCACCACCGCCCCGAAGAGGCCATCAAGGGATCCCAGGGGGCCCCAAACAAGCATCAAAGAACATTGGCACGTGGGCGCCTTAGCATCCAAGAGTACACCGAGACAGGCGCATTACTTCGCGCGCGAGGCCTCCGCACCTTGATCACGTCGAGTGGGGCGAGCGGGCGCAACAAACAACATGCTTTGATTATGTCAGGGGCGCGGGGCCCGTCAACATCTTCTGAGGATTGTGACGATGTTGCAGTAATCGCATTAGAGCCATTATTATCATTCTTTACATATATTTAAACCCGTTTCAAGTTACATCGTGTTAAATATGTGAAGTAACCTAGCATTTAAAACAACACCTACATTTATGATTCTAAGGTTTCCCAGCTACTGGGCAGTAGCTCTGCTCGTTTCAGCCCGCTGCAGGCGAAGCTCAGGGTGATCGCGGATCACCGCATGAGCCGAATTGCAAGCACATGTTCTTCGGGCGGGGCTAGGACGAGAGTAACTCCGTTCTAGAGCCTTCCAGGACGCTCTCAGAGCGTTCCAGAACGCCCTGATGAGGCCACGGCGCCCAAGACATGAACCGCCGGATCCCAGAGATTCTCGGCTTAGCCTCCCCCAGACTTCTCCTCGGCTTGGCTTCGTCTTGACTCTTCATCGGTCGTCCACAGGATGTCTGCAGTCAGCCCGCAGGGTGAGGACGGGCAGCCTCATCGAGGGTACAGTCGGGGCCCTGAAGAAGGAACCCTTCTCGTGGGGGAGGGGCTCCGTGTTACTTGATGGTCTCGCAGCTTGCGTTAGATTTTGTTTAGGTATTCGATAATAGATCGAAGTTTAACTTATGGAAAATAGGGGCCTCGTTCCTTATTTAGGGTTCCTTAGGTCAACGCCTCGACTGTGCCCTTCCATCCCTGCCCCTTCGGCCCATCCCTGGCGACTTTCGCTGGCCGACGTCGTCCGAAAGTCGTCAACATGGGCCTCCCAGGCCCTTGCATCCTTACCTCGGGTTGACCCAGAAGGGGGTCCAGCGACAAGGGGGTGGTGCCATAGATTTGGTGCAGTCGATTTATGGGGTTGCAATGCATTGTGGGCGTGCAACACGTTCCGGGGCGCAAATGTATTGCTGGGCTTTCGCGTGCCATGCGTTAGTGGCAATACAACGCAATACCATTCTCCAACGCACCACGCCTGCAATACACTTGCCCCAGGTCTATTGCACCACCCCTTTGCAGTTGGACCCCCTTGTGGGCCGCCCAGATTAATTACCGCGCATGCTTATGATACTTGGCATCGCTCGGACGTGTGTTTTTTCCTTCGGCGAGGACCATCGAGGAGCATCCTTGATCATTTAGCGAAAGAAACACGCACGAAACCGAAAAAACACACAGGGAATGGACGTCCGAGCGATGGCGAGGATACGGGTTGAGCGTCGTCGATCGCCCACGGGTCGTGTGTGCAGCCACTGACCGCGCGCGACAGCACGGCGAGGCGCCCCCCCGAGCTCGCTGCGGCCCGGGGCCGCCCGCGGCCGCCGCGCGGCTCCGGGCCCCTCTCTCCGGGCGCTGCGCCCGGGCGCCGCGCCGCAGACCACTGGCCTCGGAAGTATCCCTATCCCTAGGATTGACACGCCAGAAGGCGATGACAGTCTTAGGGATGCGCCCTCAAAACATAAGGGAATCCCTGGATTCCCTTCGGGGATCATCCGTTAAAATTGGAAAGATACAGAGAAGATTAGCATGGCCCCTGCGCAAGGATGACGCGCACAAGCGAGAAGTGTATACAACAACATAGGGGAATCCCTAAGATCGCCGTCGTGACGAGGCGATGCCCAGCTCAGGGATAAGGACATGTTCCAGGCTGGTAGTCCGGGAGGAGGAGGGGGGGGGCTCGGCGCAGCTCGGACGCGTGCACCTTTTTTCGGGGGCGTAAAAGAGGGGCGTGATGACTAGGGGAGGGGGGGGTGGATATCATGGCGGGGGCCATGATATCTCCCCAGATCTCATGGCGCCTCTTCTTGTTTCATCGCGTCCCTGGCCCCCCCGCTGGGCCGCGCGCATGCCGCCGGTCATGATTTGTTGGACACCCCCCTCTTGGCCGCTCCCGATTAGGGATGCGTCCTCAAAACATGAGGGAATGCCTAAAATCGCCGTCGTGACGAGGCGATGCCCAGCGTAGGGATAGACATGTTCCAGGCTGGTAATCCGGGAGGAGGAGGGAGGAGGCCCGGCACAGCTCGGGCGCGTGCTCTTTTCCCCCGGCGAGGACCATCGAGGAGCGTGCTGGATTTCGCTGGCAAGTCATGGGATCCTGGCCCCCTACCCTCTCCCTTCCGTCTTTAGCGTTGATTAGCGACCGTCTGGGAATCGATGAGCTAGTTCCGAGGTAGCGCCGGTTTGCGTCGATTAGCGTCGATTCGGCGTCGATGAGCGTCGATTTGGCGTCGATCAGTGTCGATTCAGCGTTGATTAGTATCGATTCGCAAGAGCCGACAAGATGGAATGGGAAGCTCCGCTGGCCACCGAACTGGATCATCGAGCGAAGAGAAGCACGCACGAAGCGGACAGGTGCACGGGGAACGGACGTCCGAGCGCCGGCGGGGTGACCGGACCATATCCCGCCTCCAGGTCTCGAGCTGCGGTCCCGGATGAGGCTTCCTTCTTCCGTTCAGAGCTCTGCAGCTGCAGCTGGGGTGGCCTGCGTTTCGAGAGGGGAACAATCACACAGACACAATTGGTCGTCGATTCCCAGGGAAATGCGGGAAAGGATGGAAAGCGGGGGCGAAGACGAAAAGTCAGAACATGTGGAAAAATGTGGGGGCATCCTGGGAGTTGTGTGTATTTATTTGTGTGCCCCAGTGCCCCTTTAGTTGAAGAAAGAGGGCCACAGTGAATTCAATGGTGCATCAGGGCTGCTGCAATACACCCTCCCGCTTTAAGCTCTTGCCTCCGGGGTCCTGGCGAGCATTCCGTTTCCAAGGGCGCCCTCGAGGGCGCGAAGTCATTCGCGCTTCGCGCTTCGCGGTTCGGCTCCGATTCCTCCTCTCATCCTCCTCTCCTCCCCTGGGCGGCGGCGCGAGAGCGCGAGGTTCTTCGCACGTGGCGCTTCGCGCGGCGCGAAGCGCGAAGTTGGGAGCCCTTGCTTTGGACGGTCAGCCCGCCACTCGGGCGCAAGCCTCGTTCTGGAAAGGACTTGCGCTCTGCACCCGTGGACGCAGGTGGAAGAGGTTCGTACGTGTTTTGTGGCTGTCATTCTATTTTTTGTTGGTGTCTGACTTGATTTTGGCAGCTCAATATAACAGTTTTTGGAGCTCCATCAGCAGAACTAGTACACATTTTCAGAGGAAGAGGAAGATAAGGAGTGGGAGGAGGGTGACAAGGATGAGCAGGAGGGGGCTGAGGGGAGGAGGAGAGGGGGAATGGGGATGAGCGGGATCGAGGATGAGGAGGAGGAGGAGGAGGAGGAGGAGGAGGATGAGGAGGAGCTGGAGGAGCGTTTTTTGCGAGCGTCCTGTGCTCCTTTCTGGACATCTGGCGGTGGCTCGATCCGGGAGGGCCATGGGGTCCTGTATTGGGCGAGAAAACCAGGCCAGGGGGACCTAGTCCTCCCCCCCCCTCCGTGAGTAAACCTGGACTTGACTGCCAGAACCTTTGCATTGCCAACTTTCAGCAGTGTTCAAAGTCGTAGTTCCCCACCACATGGCGCTGCAGACTGCCTGAGGTCTCCCCCAGCACTGTAGCTGAACCCTAAATAGTAGGCCCCCAGAGTCAGGTTAGACAGCCAGATTAATTTCAGCAGTACCAGAAGTGTTCAGGACAAATCGGCCTACACGTTTTTATGAACTGACTCGGCGAGCATTGCCCCACATTTCTGGATCATATATATATATGTATATGTATGTATATAGGGGCATGCATGTATGTATGCATGCATGCATACATGTGTGTATGTGTGTCTGCCTGTCTGTCTGTCTGTCTGTCTGTCTGTCTGTCTGTCTGTCTGTATGTATGTATGTATGTATGTATGTATGTATGTATGTATTGTATGTGTGTATGTAGGTAGGTATGTAGGTAGATGTAGGTCGGTAGGTCGGTAGGTAGGTAGGTAGGTAGGTAGGTAGGTAGGTATGTGTGTATGTTAGCTATTCGTATCTACATTTGCATACACGTATACACATATGAATATGATTCAATCTTTTCCACGACGTGCTGATCTAACGGTCCAGCCAGGAGTCCAAGGACCTGGACAAGTCGACCGCCGAGGCCGAGTCCGACCGCTCCTCGGTAAAGACGGAGCTGGCGGCGGTGGAGAAGTACTTGGCGAAGCTGCACGAGGAGTGCGACGAGACGGCACCGACGTACGCGGACATGGGTAGGGAAAAAGAGAGGTCCGGCCAAAGAGAGGTGCCTGTTCGTTTCCCCATAGTTCTTGCAGGTAAGGTCAGTCATAAAGTGGCCAGGATTCGCTGGGCATCCTTGCGTCCTTCATTGTACGTCCCCCCGATCCCGCATTCCACTCTTGCGGGACGCCTTGCAGGGCCCTGTCATCCCTGTGCTCCCCGTTCTCGACTGATCTGTCGTCCGCTTTCAGCGATACTGGCCTCAGACAAGAGAAGGTCGAGGAAAAGGTTAATTTTGTGCAGGATGAGAGGGAAGGCTCGGCCTGGAGCGTGGTCTCATCGTCGGCCTGCTAATCGCAGAGCATCGAGCTCGAGCGACAGCCCATCTCGCATGGCCATGTACTTTGAACACGAGGAGAAGATCATCGTGTACTGTGGGAGGTGGAAGAAGATGGGAGCGGCAGACGATGGGCAGAATCAGGAGAATGAACGCGGATGGAGTAGGGCGGGGGGGTGACGACGGAAGGATGATGATGCTGATGATGATGATGATGCTGATGATGATGATGATACTGATGCTGATTATGATGCTGATGCTGATGATGAGGAGGATTATGATGATGCTGATGCTGATGCTGATGCTGATGATGCTGATGATGAGTATGATGATGAGGATGATGATGAGGAGGAGGGGTAAGGACGCTGGGTAGGATATGGGGTTGAGGAGGATGAGGATGATGATGATGCTGATTCTGCTGATGATAATGACGACGATGATGCTGCTGCTGATGATGATGATGCTGATGCTATTCTGGTTGTCGTGGTTGCTGCTGTTGATCATGATGGTGATGATGCTGCTGATGCTGATGATGGTGCTTATGTTGTTCCCCGCATGCTTAGTGGGGTTATTGTTTTCTTTCCTGCCGCTTCGCACCCGCATCTTCCTCACTGCCCTCCTCTCCTCTCCTCTCCTCTCCTCTCCTCTCCTCTCCTCTCCTCTCCTCTCCTCCTCTTCCTTCCTCCCCTCACCCACGCGCAACTCATGCACGACGCGTACATGAATCATGCGTCTACATACAGCCGCACGCATGTGCACATTTGCAGACACACCATACAACGCCAGTGCGCGCCTGGCGTGTTGACTGTATCACACACCCACATTTAGGCACGCGTCCACCTACAGCCGCACACCCGTCATACACATGCGCAAGGCACACAAGACACAAGACACGCATACAGACACGCGAGCGAACACGCACACCCACATTGAGACACGCAGTCCACCTGCAGCCGCATACACATCATACACATTCATACGGCACACAAGACACAAGACACGCATGCAGACACGCGAGCGAACACGCACAAACAAACAACGCCAGTGCACGCCTGGCGTGCTCACTGCATCACACACCCAAGCCGTATGCGCCACGTGCAGACCCAGTCGTCCATGCACAGCAGGCGTGGCACTTACTCGACACCATAGGGGGCGCGCAGGGGGTGGTCTCTGAGCGCGGCCGCCATGCACGCCAGTCGTGCAGGGCATAGTAGGCGTGGCACTTACTCAACACCATACGGGGTGCGCAGGGGGTTGGTCTCTGAGCGCGGCCGTCATGCACGCCGATCGTGCAGGGCATAACAGGCGTGGCACTTATTCGACACCATGAGGGTGCGCAGGGGGTGGTCTCTGAGCGCGGCCGCTATGCACGCCGGTCGTGCAGGGCATAGCAGGCGTGGTACTTACTCGACATCATGAGGGTGCGCACGGGGTGGCCTCTGAGCGCGGCCGCTATGCACGCCGGTCGTGCAGGGCATTGCAGTCTTGGCACTTACTCGACACCATGGGGGGCGCGCAGGGGGTGGCCTCTGAGCGCGGCCGCTGTGCTCGCCGGTCGTGCAGGGCATAGCAGGCGTGGCACTTACTCGACACCATACGGCGTGCGCTGGGGTTGGTCTTTGAACGCGGCCGCTATGCGCGCCGGTCGTCCATGGCATAGGAGGCGTGGCACTTTCTCGACACCATATGGCGTGCGCAGGGGGTGCACGGTGGCCGTGCAGGGCATGTCAGGCGTGGCACTTTCTCGACACCATAGGGGGTGCGCATGGGGTGGTCTCTGAGCGCGGCCGCTATTCGCGCCGGTCGTGCAGGGCATAGTAGGCGTGGCGCTGTCTCGACACCATTGGGGATGGTTCGCAGGGATTGGTCGCTGAGCGCGGCCGCCATGCACGCCAGTCGCGCAGGGCATAGCAGGCGTGGAACTGACTCGACACATGTTGGGTGCGCAGGGGGTGCGGTGTCCAGGGCCCAGCGCGCGTGGCATCTTCTCGAGGCCACACGGGCGCGCAAGCGGGGGGGGGGCGCTACCATCATCAGTAAGAACTGTAGCCACCCTGGGTCATGCAGTCTCAGACTGCTTGACGCGTGAGCGCGGACGACCGCCGGCGACTCCGTCAAAGGCACGGTCCCCTTCATGACGCCCGAATGCGCATGTCCGCGCTGCCACCGCCGTGCGAGCAGCTCGAGATGGGCGCCGAGGTGAACCTGGATTGTTTGCGCGGATCTGTCGTCAGGCATGGGAGCGTCTTGGTACAATCCGCATGTCATGCTTGCCACGAATAATTCTCGAATTGGTGGCCTGAGACGCTATTCGCCAATTGCGGAGAGTTGCCGCGTAAACGAGGCGCTGACGATGCAAGCGGACAGTGCGTGGTGAGGTACTTTCTGGACCCTTCTTCGGTATCGGCATCGGAAAACCTACCGGGGAGGGTGGGGGGGGGGGATGATGGGGGGGGGGGACAGGGGGATTATCGCGTGGGAGTCATGCCAGCGACGTCCGCGCAGCGTCCCGGAGGGAGAGAGGGAGAAGGAGGGGAGAATATGGGGTCCAACGGGTGCCGAACATATGCTTGCAGTCTTCACGGCGGAGTGTGGGGGGGGGGAGGGGGAACAGCAGGAGGGGCGCGTAAGAGGGGCGAGGATGAAGGCGCACTTATGCTGCACAAATCCCGGAACAAAAAAAGCTCCACGAGGGAGGGATGGGGGAGGAGGTGCCGGAGGACGGAACAGGATGCAGGATGACGGCCAAGAGATCCCGACAATTGCCGAAAACCTATCTCGACGGAAAGCGGTGGCTGGGGAGGAAAAGGGGTGCGTCAGTGAGGTACAACAGATATCGGTGGCGTTCCAAATGCAAGGCCTTGCAGGAGGTGGGATGGACGAGGGCGACGAGGGACGAGGATGACGAGGGGGGGGGGCGAAAAAGGGGGAGGGCGACCGGGTAGGAGGAGGAGGACTAGGACGAGGAGGGAGGGAAACCGCGACGAAGGAGTTCGAAGAGGACGGGGGCCGACGACGGAGCAGGACGATGGGGACGAGGGGGGAGGAGGACGATGGGGGATGAAAACGAGGAGGGAGGAGGGCGAGGAGGGAAGAGGACGAAGAGGGACGAGGATTATATGCAGGGGGATTCGAGCACGACCACGAGCGGGCCACCGCGCGGGCCACAACGCGCGGGGTCTTGAGCACGACCGCGAGCTGCGACCCACAGCGGCCGACAGTGGACCCCTGGGATTCATCCAGAAACCTCCCCTGGGGGCGATTCGGAATTCGTCCGAAAACCTACCTGGGGCCACCCCAGGATTCATTCAAAAATCGCTCCCGGGGGCGCCCCAGGTTTCATCCAAAAACTGCCCCATGGGGGGCCGCCAGAGCGAATTCCCAAAACAAACCCAACAAGTCTTCCAGAAACCGGAGTCCCAAACTGACCCAACAAGTCGCCACATGTTTTAATGTATTGTTTGGACCGTAAAACAATTGGATGAGTTTTTGGGTTCGGTTTTCAAGAACAAATTCCAGGGGGTCTGCGGCGTCTTATGGCGACGGGCTCGCTGCGACGCACTGCCGGCGCCGTGTGGCGAGCCCGCCCGGCCGCTGGGCCCCTTGGAACCCCCGACGGGCTGCCTCCAGGCCCGCGGCTCCCCGGGCCCCCCGGGCCCCTCGGGGCCCCTCGTGCCCCGAAGGGGGGGAGGGACCGCTGGAGGAACGCGGGGGGACACGCCTGAGAGGGGCTGGGGGTTCCCCCCCCTCCCCCCCTCGCGCGGCCGTGCTCTGTCGGGGGAATCCCAAAGGACTCCGAGCAGTCCCCGCGTGGCCGTCAAGATTCGGAGACTCGCCAGAACCTCCAGGCACGCCCCCGAAGTCCCAGCGTCCCACGGCGCCGGGCGACCCCACCTCAGGCCTCCTGAAAAGCGTCCCGCGGCCCCGGGGGCCTTCCGCAAGCGCCATCGCGTCGCCGAGCTCTCGTGATCGGCGCGATGCTTGCGCACGGTCTTGCGCCGCGAGGGCATCCTGGCAATCCCGCGTGCCCGTGCAGCTGGGCGGCCGAGCGTGGCTTGTGGCTGTATCCGAGGCGAGGCCATTGAGGGCCCCAGGGAAGCATCCAGAGATCCGCACATGGTCGCGGAGTTCATGGAGGTTTCCGGACGTCGCTGTCGCCCTCGACGTCGTCGCCGCCGCCGCCGTCGTTGTCGAAATTGCGGTGTTTTCGGAGGCCTCCTGGGGGCCCTGGGGCCCATGCGGGCCCCGGGGGCTTCCTGTAAGCTTTGGAATGATTAGGGGTCGTTTTCATATCTTGCTCCAGGGCGCGAGCAGAGCGCCCGTCACTTGGGCGCCGCGCGCCGCGCCCTCTCGATGCGGTCGCGAACGGTGGCAAGGCCTCCATCCGCCGTTACAGCTACCTCCGTGGGCTCCACGAGTGACCGGGCCTCTTCGGCCCAGTCTACGGCCGCACCGTCACTGCAAGCCGACGGCTGAAGACATGCTTTATTCTGGTGCACCAACAGGTCGCGATGCTGACGGCCACGTCGTCGGTGTATGTCTCCGCGTTAAGAGTAATGGTGCGCTGCGTCCTCGTTGCCCCGCAGAAATCTGAGCCGGCCCTGCTCGCGTTGGCATCGCGCGCGGCCCCGAGGTGCTCGAGCGTCCAGCGCGCTCCGCGGAGTAATAAGTAGAAGGGGTTCCCGACG